ATTATAAAGAGTCCTCTTATGTATTTCAACTTATGTTTACTATTTTCTACCTCCTACTTGTAAAAATGAAAGTAGTTATTAGCTGTTCAATCCATCATTTTTATTAATATGTAAGAAAAAGTTTGATCATGAAGTCTAACAAAATTATTAGTTTTTATTTTTATACACGATATGTTAATTGTTCCCAAAAGCCTAAGTCAGAGTTCCACACAAGCACATACCCACATTTGTCAGGGAGATAATATGCCTTCTACCCTGCTTATCACTTAATAAATTAACTAATGGATTTAGCTATATGGCTTTATTCCAAATTATATAATGACAAACAGTATTATCTTGTGTTTATAAAAACTTTTTTATAATATTAATATTAGATCTATAGCCCTGGCCTATGTGGGACAGTGGTTACAGCACTGGTCCCACATTGAAGTGTCCAGGGTTGGATTCCCAGTTAAAGGCATGTACCTGGGTTGCAGATTGGATCCCCAGTCCTGGTTCGGTGCGTGCATGTGGGAGGCAGCCAAATGATGTGTCTGTCTCATAGCAATGTTTCTGTTTCTGTCTCTCTCCCCCCCCCTACCCCCCGCCCTCCCTGCCTTCCACTCTCTCTAAAAATCAATGGAAAAAATATCCTTGAGTGAGGCTTAACAAATAATAATAATAATAATAATAATAATAGACCTATGTAATTTTAAACATGATTTTTGGCCATCAATTTTATAAGCTACAGTTAATAATTTATTTCCCAGTTGTTTTATCATATTCTTTAAAATGAACATTAACATATTTATTTAAATTGAAGAATAAAGTCCAACTTTTTCCTGAAAGAAAGTAATTCTGACTTGGCTGATTACCGTAGAGGCTAGTAGTTTTAAATGAAGACTGGTTTTGCTAATTCCACAAATGGCAGTATTTTCCATATTGAAGTAAACCTGCACTTCTATATTTTTAAAAAAATGTTTTATTGATTTTAGAGAGGAAGGGAAAAGGAAAGATAGAAACATTGATGAAAGAGAAACATCATCATCAATCAGCTGCCTCCTGCATGCCCCCTGCTGGGGATCAGCCCCCAACCCAAGCATGTGCCCTGATAGGGAATGGAACTGGTGACTTCCTGGTGCAGGGGTTGATGCTTAACCACTGAGCCACACTGACCAGGCTGCACTTCAATATTTAAACAAAAATATGAATGCATAATGATGTGGTTAAAAAATTATAAAAAAATAGTGTTGGCAATAGAGTATGAAAATTAATATCCAATTTAATGAGGTGCCTCTGAGTGAAAAGACAACAAAATTAATACTCATTTTTATAAGACTGAGACTCCAATGAACGGGTAACAAATCCTTTTGCAGATTAAGTGGTTTCCAATTCTTTGCTTTTAATAAAATTAAAGGAAGACTCTATTTGATAGTACTTGATAATAGTATTTGGTATTAGGACACTCTGTGATTGTTGGCATGTGACTCGGAAGTAGATCAGACTCGAGGAATATCATTGTAACATATCTCTTCCTTTCCCAATTACTATGTGAACAAGGCTTCTCAGCATTTACGTCTATAAAAATAAAAAACAGGTAGAGAATTGATGAGAAATCAAAAGAAACACCATATTTCTCATTAAAAGATATAGTTTCAATAAAAATTGTACTTTTTAGGTTTCACAAGTTATAAACATGTGTAATATATTTATTTTGTTTAATAAACTGTGTACTAGTCATAACTATAATGACAATTCAATCCAGGAGAAATGTTAACAAAGCCCATGGTCACAGGTTATAAATTTAAATTTACACTCATTTTTGTTGTAAAGTGTGACAGTGATCAATAAAAGACTTTAAAGCATACAAATATACTAATTAAAGTTCTATATGGGAAGAAAATGGAATTGGGAGTTCAAAAAGGGAAAACTGTAAAATTTCTGTTAAAAAGGGAGCTCGTTTATATATTTTTTTAATGGGTGATGCTGGGCATCATATATTTAGAGTATTTGGAGTCCAGTGGATACATTTAAAAATGATGTAATGGTTTTAGTTTAAAATGTCAAAACTTACAGCAAGTCAGAAATATCCTCTACAAGTATTTAAATTTATGATGGAAAATGTAGATGTCAACTTAAAAATGGGTAATGGGGTACACAGTTCTTTAAAATTCTTTTATGAAGTCTCTCTTTAGAAAAAACTCTGAAGATCACTACTCTATATGGCATATTGCAGGGGTGAGGACCAAAGGCAGAACAGAAGCTGCTAGAAATGATCTTCAATCATCCACTCCAAAGTATTTTCCTCACCAGTTCTCCCGAGTACATGAAATTACCCACCATCAGAATCTTATTACTTCAAATGCAGACACTGGTTTCCTAGAGTGGTTTTTTGCTTGTTTGCTTGTTTTGTTTCGTTTTTTTATTGATCTTAGAGAGAGGGAGGGAGAGGGAAGGAGGAGGAGGAGGGAGAGGAACATCAACCAGTTGCCTCCCATACTGGCCTGAAACCTAGGTATGTGCCCTGAGTGGGACTCGAACCCGAAATCTTTTGGTGCAGGGGATGATTCGCTCCAACCAACTGAGCCACTCAGGCAGGGCTGCCAGAGTTTCTGTTAATTGTGTAATGGGAGAAGGGATTAGCCAATCACATTAGGATCTGCAAGGAATGTGAGAAAGAACAGATGCATTTTTTTTTTAAATATATTTTATTGATTTTTCACAGAGAGAAAGGGATAGAGATAGAGAGTTAGAAACATCGATCAGCTGCCTCCTGCACACCCCCCACTGGGGATGTGCCCGCAACCAAGGTACATGCCCTTGACAGGAATCAAACCTGGGACCTTTCAGTCCGCAGGCTGACGCTCTATCCACTGAGCCAAACCGGTTAGGGCCAGATGCATTTTTTATTATGAAAAAGGTGGTGGGAGGACAAACTAGGACAACCTGAATTCTATTCCCTCTCTATTTCTAACCAGGAGTTGATGCTAAAAGACAAGCTACTTATTCTCTGTGTATCTATGTAAAATAACTTCTAAATTTCCACTGTAGTGGCCAGGCTGTTTATTTATACAACAGGAGATATATATAGGATTCATTACTCATCCTATATAATAAACCCTTAGTATGCAAATCGACCAAACTACAGAATGACGGGTCGCTATGACACGCACTAACCACCAGGGGGCAGATGCTCAACACAGGAGCTGCCCCCTGGTGGTCAGTGAGCTCCCATGGGGGAGTGCCACTTAGCCAGAAGCCAGGCTCACGCTGTTGAGGCAGGAGCCTCTCCCACCTCCATTGCAGGCGGGTGGTAAGGAGTGAGGGGTCCCAGACTGCAAGAGCCCTGGACTGCAAGAGGGATCCATGGGGCCTAAGCTGGCAGGCGGACATCCCCTGAGGGGTCCCGACTGCGAGAGGGCGCAGGCAGGGCTGAGGGACCACCCTCCTCCTACATGATTTTCGTGCACGGGGCCTCTAGTTATTATCCTATATAATAAGAGAGAAATATGCAAATTAGGCTGGGACATCACAACCAGCTTAGGAGGCTGTGTCACAACCAGCTCAGAGCACGCCCCCAGCCCCAGCGGACACACACCACACACTACACACCACACACCACACACCAGGGTGGGGGTGGGCTCCAAGTGGCCAAATGCGGTTGGGAGCCCACCCCCAGCACCAACGTAGCCCAGTTCTGAGGCCACTCCCACCGGGGGTTCGTGGGCAGGCACGCTGCGCCACCTGCCCTGGGAGCAAGGCCCCCAGTGGACCCACGGACCCGCCCAGGGGGCGTGCTCCGAGCCGCCAAGGCCAGGCTGTGGCTTAGGGCCTAAGCCATCAGTAGGAATCCCCTGAGGACTCCCAGACTGTGAGAGGGGGCAGGCTGGGCTGAGGGACGGCCACCCAGTGCACGAATTTTGTGCACCGGGCCTCTAGTATAAGAATAAGCCATCAGTTGCTACCCACTGCCCACCGAAACTGAGAACCTAAGGAAACTGTGGCCCCAGTCCAGCCTCAGGAAATGCTGAGCCAAAACAAAGATGGGGAAAGGCAATGTCTGAAATGGAAGGAGAGGGCTTTCTGGTTAAGGTCTTCAGAGTGAGGAGAGGAATAGGATGTCAGCGCCCCCACTGGCATGTTTAGCCACCATAAGCCCCACACTCAGTACTTTCCATTTTTTTAAAGTTAAATTGGGTGTGTGTGTGTGTGTGTGTTTTTGGGTGGGGGGGTTGGAAGGAGAAGGAGAAAACAAAAGAAACTAGTTAAAGTCTAAAGGATAGAGATGGAAAAGTTGCTCACCTCATTCCTCCAGGCACTCAATTCCTCTCCTAAAAGGCAACCTCTACCAGTTCCCTATCTGACCCCTCGCCTTATTAACTTATTCTTATTTTTATTTTTTTACCAAAGACTTCCTCCCCTTTAATGTTCCCTTAGATTTCTGCGAGCGCCCCAATCGCAGCCTCTCCCGCGTGGGAGGGGGAAATAGTAATAGGGCTCGGTTCCTTCACCCCGAGCGGGGACACAGGGGGAGTAGGGGTTTCGCGCTGGGGCGGGGCGAAGGGGAATGAGAGTGAACCCAAGGGGCCCGTGGGGCGCCCCCTTAGGGGCGGTGCCTCGCGCTCCTCACCGTCCTCCTTTCCCGCAAGGAGCTCGCGGTCCCCGCGCTGCTTCCCTGGGAGTTCGGCTCGCAGGCTGTGCCCGCGGACGGGAGGCGCGGCGACCTGGGCTGAGCCCGAGGCGCGGGCAGGGGGCCCCGCGGGAACCGCTCCCCTCACTGGCTGCCCCTCCGACCCCGCCTCCCCGAGCGCACCTGCCAGTCTGCAGGCCGCGACGCTCCTCCTTGGGGCCCGGGCTCCTCCCCTTCCCGCCGAGGCCCTGGTGGACCGAGTCCCTGGGCGCGACAGGTGGCGCCTCCGCATTGCTATAGCGACAGCCCGCCCGCCGCCGGCCGGGCGCGGATCCGGGCGTCGTGACGTCATCACGCCCTCCCGGGCGCCGGCAGAGGCCGTGCGTCACCCCGGCGGGGGCGGGGCTGCGAGGGGCACGGCTCGGAGCCCGGCCGCCCGGGCTGCAGGGGCCCGGGAACCAGGATAACTAGGACGGCGGCCGCGGCGACGGGGGTTCGGGGTGGACGTGCCCGGTATTTTGCATGCGGGTTCCGGGGCCGGTAGAGGCGCGCCGACCGGAGAGGACAGTGCGGTGGCCCTGGAACCTGGATACCGCGCGAGGCAAGCTGCGCGCGGGCGGGCGGGCGATGGCGCAGGCGGGTTGCGGGGCCGGCGCTGGTGGCGGGGCCCGGTGCATGGCGGTCTGTCGGCGGAGTCGCCCTCGGGGGCTGTCAGGTTGGTGGCTCTGGGAAGAGAGGGTCCACCGTGCCCAGGTGGGAGGCCGGGCGGGCGCAGGGCCCCCGGAAGGTCCCGAGCCCGTCGTGCCCACCTTCCTCCTGCCCTAGCCCGGCGGCCAGGCGGCTGGACGGCGGCCTGACCCTTCCCCACCAGGGTCCCGGCCCGCGACCCCCGTCCCTCCCCTCCATTCCGCCTGCTGCTATCCCCCCGCCCGGGACTCCCAAACCCCACCCGTGACGGCGCCCGCCTCCACCTCCGTGGCCCCACACCCCACCAACTGACCCTAAGACCTCCCCGGGAACCCTCAATTCTTCGTCATTGACTCCGACAACCTAGGAACTTCCCCAGCCCTGCGCAGGGACCCCCAACTCAGTGACTCCCTCAGTTTCATACCGTCACTCCGGACCGGAGATCCCCCACGCCCCTCCTTGATGACCGCAAACCTTCTCAGCGACCCCGCTGGTCCTGTAACCCCGCCCTTTCTACCGTGTTCTCCCGCAAACTTGGTGACTCTCAAGCCTCCTTCCGTAGGTTCCCACCCCGTCATCTGCAAACCCTCAATGCCTGATCAGCCGTTCTTTGCCCTGTTACCTCATGGTCTTCATTCCATGTCCCCCCTTCATCCTAAAGTCACCCCCACTGACAATCCTCGCTGCGCCCAGCCCGCCAGTGTCAATCGGCACGTGATTTAAAAATGCCCTAGCACCCTGCTGGTGCCAGGAAGATCTGGAGATGAATACGAAGTAGTAATAGTTGGAGGCGCCAAAAGAATTCTGGATTGAGTGTGTGGGCGCTGGCTCTGCCAGGGTTGTGCTTTGGGAACCTGAGAGAAGCCCTTTCTTCACTCTGGACCTCAGCTTCTCATCTGTATTGTGATCAGGTTGGGTTAAAGGACCTCAGAGTTTCTTTCCAGCTGTGAAAGTCTGCAATTCTCAGTCAAGATAATACTCGTTTGCAATCATTTTTGTGCCCTTCCCTAAGGAGTTGACTCTGGTAACCTCACCCCAGGGTCCACTTGCTTCCTGGTCCTTATTCTCTCACTCCGCTGACCCCCTACACTCTTAATAGTCCGTACCCACTTCCCTTGATCAGGCCCCATCAGTTAACATGCTTGCCAAGCAGCACAGCAAAATGCTTCAGCTCTAGGCACTGATGTGATAAGAGACCCGAGTTCTAGTGTGACGGTAGCCCTTCCGCTGTGGCACCTCAGGCATACCATCTAGCCTCTCCGAACCCTCATCTCCACTCTTGTTAAGTGAGGATGATAGTAGTGCCTGAGATAATGTGTCCAAAGCACTTGGCACCTTGCCTGGCCCGTGTTTACCTTTCAACAACCTCATGAGATGGTTGCTATTATATCCACCACCATTTCCCACTTTTGTTCGTTTTGAGTTGGTTTTAAATAAATGAAGAACCTGAAACTCAGATAAGTATCACAGCTGGGATTTGAACCCAGTCTTCAAAACCCATTTGCTCCGTTACCTCTCGAGCTCTCAAACCTATCTAGTTTTCTAGGTCACCCTCAGCCTAGAGGCTCTGTGCATGAAATTTGTGCACAGGTAGGGTCCCTAGGTCTGGCCGGCGATCAGGGCCGATCAGGTTCCCCACCTCCCTGCCTCCTTCCCTCGCTCCCTCAGTGCCCTGTCACCGCCGCTGGTGGCCTGCCATGTTCCATGCCGCTCCCTGGTGGTCAGCACATGTCATAGCGAGCAATCGAATTCCAGGTCTCCTGGTCGAACTCCTGAGGGGATACTTTGCATATTAGCCAGATAGATAGATAGGTAGGTAGATAGATTCCTAAGCCCTATATCAACTCATTCCACAAAACTCAAGGTTTCTGTGACCCTTTGCCCCATGGCTTTGTGACTTCCTCAACCCATTGTTTATGACTTTTGACCCCACATGCCCTGACACCCCTGCACCTTAATACATTACTCTCTTCATTCTTTGTCCAGTTGTCATCTCACCCTAAGAGTCCTTGGAGCTCCTTCTCACTTCATTATTTCACCCTAAAGTGTCTCCCACTTCATTGGCATTTTATCCCAGATCCTCTCATCCTATTAAGTTCCTTACCCACAGGAATTCATACACTCTAACGCCCTCTAGCCCTGCAGTCTTTCCTCATATGATCTCTTCCTATTTTCAGTTTCTCTAGTGTTGTAGCTGCATCCCTTCTGCCATCCTCTACCTAAACCTTCATCTACTAGTTATTAGCTCTGGTGTAGTGACTGCCTTCACCCAGCTTATAACCCTTTCATCTTAAGATCCTCCTTTTTATACTCTGTCCAATAAGCTCTGAGATCCTGCCTCTCAGATTCCCGGATCTCCTGGCATTTTCCTCATTTTCACCAGTGATGTTCTTTTCAAACCCGAATCATCTATCACCTTTTCCCTCTCATTGTGCCCCGTCCCTTCTCACAGTATCCTCTTCGTTTCCCTTATTTTTCTCCCAACCATCCTCACCTCACCAATCTTGATAACATCAATTATAATGTAAACCTCTCTCCCATCCCAACTCTGCCTTCTTCCTTTTTCCTGTGCATCTAACTCCAGGACCACATGAACGACCCTGCCACTCAGCCCTCTCCTTCCTTCACACACAGCACTGTCCAAACCATTGGCCTCTTTGGCTTGTCCAAAGAACTACACAATTCTCTGGAAAGTTCTGATAATAGATCACCAAGCTCACAGCCCTTTAGAGAGCAAGGAAATTCTTCTGAATCAATCTAACCTTGTGTCCTTGACCCACTCCCATGACCCTATCCTGTTTATGAAACTGTTTGCTGTATGTGCCCTTGGGGTAGAATGCTTTGAGTGTCAGCTTCTGCCTGCATTGAATTAGCTCCATTGTTTTCCAAGCCCTGGGAGGACCTTCCTCTCCCACCAGAAGACTGGTGAGTAGCAAAATGTAACGTTCAAGATTCACATCCAAAAGTCTGTTCTGTGGGTCACCAAATTCCCAGGCCTCCTGTAATGTACTTACTGACTCTACAGCAATAAATATAGCAGAGGGCATAACCCAGAGTTAAGGAGGGGTAAACTGCAGGGTCTACAAATTCCGCGGGTTTATTTTATTTATTTACTTTTTTAAAAAATCCTCACCCAAAGATATTTTTCCATTGATTTTTAGAGAGAGTGGAAAGAAAGGGGAAAGACAGAGAGAGAAATATTGCTGTGAGAGAGACACATTGGTTGGTTGCCTCCTGCACACGCCCTGACCAGGGCCAGGGATCAAACCTGCAGCCTAGGTACGTGCTCTTGGCCGGAATCAAACCTGGAACCTGTCAGTCCGCAGGCTGAGGCTCTATCCACTGAGCCAAACCAGATGGGGCTGTGGGTTTGTTTTTTAAATATATTTTTATTGATTTCAGAGTGGAAGGGAGAGGGAGAGAAAGATAGAAACATCAATGATGGGAGAGAAACATTGATGGGCTGCCTCCTGCACACACACCCCGACGACCCCCCCCCCCCGTCCCTGACCCCCCCTCACACACACACACACACACACACACACACACACACACACACACACACTGGGATGGAGACCACAACCTGGGCATAGGTCGATGTTCAACCACTTGCTCCATTACTCCTCTTGCCCTCAAACCTGCCTAGTTTACGCTGGCCAGGATTCAATTAAACAGAGTTTTTGCCTTAGGTTTATTTAATCTTCTTAGGGCACAGTACTTCTGCTGCTTTGTATCTTTGTTATTTGTGTATTCTTCTCACCCAGCCTCCCACCCCCACTGTGATTTCTTTGAGAAGAGAGACTGGGCTTTCTTTACCTTCTGTCATCTTAATCCTGACCCTCATATTTCCAGATAGTCAGTAAATACTGGGTTGAATGAACACATTCAGAAATTTACATCAGTACAAACAAGTGAAAACAGAAACAGCTTACATCTGCATTCACTTGTAGCTACAACAGCCCTCTCCGCAAATCCTTCTAAAGGTGACAGTGGGCAGAGTTCCTTGATTTTAACAGTCTGGAATTTAGACATCTCTTTTTTTTTTTTTAGTCATTGCTCCAGTGGGGGAATGGTATAAGTGCTTGTTTTTACTGTATTCTGGTAAGATTAGCAATTAGGTTGACATACTTGCTAGAATACCGTGGTTACAAGGCCAGGGTCTGTCATATATAGACCAGTTCTTAAAAAAACAGTTAGATGAAATATTCAGTGGGGGTTTCAGAGACAGAATAGAAGAAACCAAATGAACAAAATGTTGATAATGGTTGAAGTTGGGTAATGGGTTCAGGGGGTTCATTATACTATTCTTGTGTTGTGTATGTTTGAAATCCATAATATAATCGTTTTGTGGTTTTGTGTATGTGTGTGTGTTTTTTTTTTAAAGGGCAGCTAGCCGAAACCGGCTTGGCTCGGTGGGTAGAGCGTCGGCCTGTGGACTGAAAGGTCCCAGGTTCGATTCCGGTCAAGGGCATGTACCTGGGTTGTGGGTACATCCCCAGTAGGGAGTGTGCAGGAGGCAACTGATCGATGTTTCTCTCTCATCGATGTTTCTATCTATCTCTCTCCCTTCCTCTCTGTAAAAAATCAATAAAATATATTTTAAAAAAATAAAAGGGCAGCTAGATGAACAAGTGAGAGGTTAGCACAGTTCCTTGGAAAACACCTCAAAGTAACTGGGCTGTAGCTGAGTCAGTGCCATTATCCAGGTTGGTAGTATTTTTAGTCCTGGCCTATCTTTGACCTCTTCTGTTTGTGAGATACCAGGGTGCTAAATACAAAAATTAGCACCTTGCAGAATTCTGTACCCGATGGCCTGGGAATTGTAACATCCTGGCAACAAGCACCTGTGGCTCTGGCCCCTCCGTGAGTCCCAGCCCAGGTGATAAGAGACTGGTGATAATAGACTGGACTGGACTGGACCTGAGAAGAAGGCAAGGCCGTGGGGGAGGCGAGGGAGAGATCAGATTCAACTAGGTTCTTCTGGTCTAAAGCCTTTCTATTAATGGAAGATTCTAAAGGTATCGATGT